CATTCAGTGAGCACCATCATATTTGCCAACAGATCATCACATATTAAATCCACTTATTTCTATAACAACACTGCCCATATAACCTTTCCAAAATTGATTTCCTTACAAGTCATCATGTACAGAAATTAGTTTGCACACAACTGACACATCCCTTGGGTTATGATTAAGGAAGTCTGGCATTACTCTCACGTACAAAAATCCATGTATAGACCCAGTCAGTCACCTCTACACTCTCAGATTCATGATATTAAGGTCATTCTTAGAATCAGCCCTAGCAATAATTTGTCAGGGGCAGAATCAAGTTCCTTTGTCCCATTCCTTGAGTTATCTTACTGAAGCTATTATGTTAGGAGAATCGTGATTTGGGAACCAGATTGCTCCACAAGTTCCCACACAATCATGTCATTATTTCTATTCACAAAGAGAATAGAACTACTCAGCACACTCCCTGACATCATAACTACATTTTCATCAGTGACCGCAAACTAGACCAAGTTCTTAGACTCAGTTAGAACCAATAGTATTATGAGGGACAAGACACAACATATTTTTGTACTATTTCAGACATAGTAATTTAAACATGGTCCTTTGACTAAAAAAAACACATAAGTACAATTAAAACACAGTACACAATTTACTGAAGACTTATTAAATCAACTGGTGTCTGCCATGAGGTTCAACATTTACAGCAAGGCATGCTGGCATAGACTTTTAATCCTAGTACTGTAGAGGAAGATAGACGATTGCTACCAATTAAAAACTAGCCTAGGGCTGGAGAGATGGCTCAGTGGTTAAGAGCATTGCCTGCTCTTCCAAAGGTCCTGAGTTCAATTCCCGGCAACCACATGGTGGCTCACAACCATCTGTAATGAGGTCTGGTGCCCTCTTCTGGCATACAAGGAGGCTGAACACTGTGTAAATAAATAAATAAATAAATCTTAAAAAAAAAAACTAGCCTAGATTCATAGCAAATTCCAGGTAGTCATGATGACAAAAGGAAAGCTTATTTCCAACAAGACAAAACAAAACGCAGAACAATAACACAACAAAAATAAATATGTAAAATAAGAAAAAAAATGCCTCCAATAGTTTGCCAGCTCACTCATAATCAAAGCCCCTGGGATGTGGAATCAGGGGGATGGCCACAAGTCTGAGGCTAGCCTGAATTTCAAGGTGAGTTAGTTATAGGCCAGCCTGGTCTAGAGAGTGAACTCTCTGTCTCAAAGCAAAACAAAACAAAATAAAAGCAAAAAAGGGTTGAGGGAGACTTGGGATGTGACCGAGTTAGAAGAACACTATGTAGCATACATAAGGATCTGTGTTTTATCCCTAGCACCAAAACGCATGTGTAAGTGTGATACATGGATATGCATAAATATACACACAAGCATACACATGCACCCATGCACATACAATGTTCACAACTATTTTAAGAGTATACTTGTCAATGGATGGCTTTCTTGAAATCTGAAAAACATCTGTAAATCACAGAGTGTGTGGAAATACTGGTCCTCTTGACTTAGAGCCCTCGGCAGATCACAGACTTCAGTGCCGGGAAGGAGAACAACAGAAAACAGTAGGCTTATACGTCTAAGAGACGGGAAGAGAGAGGGGAGGAGATGGGAAGGAATATTGCAAGGGGAGGTGTGTGAAGAGAGTAAGAATTAGGTCAGAGAGTTAGATCCACATAGCTGTACAGGCAGTGACAGAAGAGAATTGACATGATCAAACCTAAGTTGTAATAGGATCCTCTCAATTCAAATTGCATTGGTTATTGGGGAATTAGTTAGGAGTTGTTGTTGTTGCTGTTGTTTTTCAAAATAGGGTTTCTCTATAGCTTTGGATCCTGTCTTAAAAATCTAGTTCTTATAGACCAGGCTGACCTCGAACTCATAGAGATCCACCTGCCTCTGCTTCCCAAGTGCTGAGAATAAAGGCATGTGCCACCACTGCCCGGCAAAGCACTCCAATTTTTAAAAATATTTTCTATTACTCATATTTTTCACTTCCAAAAATAACAGAATCATTTAGGCTGTTGTCATTCCTTCCTCATTTACTAAATGAATAAAGGCATTGACACAAATATGTGATTTTCTCCTTATGTAATGTCACTCAGATTGTCTACCTGCGTGTATTCCTCTCAATAGTGGATAGGATGTGCCAACAATAATCATTTTAATCATTTATTTCTCTTGAGGAGTCCTCTAAATTTCCTCACACACACTTGATGCTAATTCTATCACTGCATATCCTCTTAGCATGCTTTCCTCTTGCATTTCCTGCTTGCTATTCATCACTGCATATCCTCTTAGCATGTTTTCCTCTTGCATTTCCTGCTTGCTATTCATCTGTCACTGAGCATCCTCTTAGCATGTTTTCCTCTTGTATTTCCTGCTTGCTATTCATCTGTTACTGAGCATCCTCTTAGCATGTTTTCCTCTTGCATTTCCTGCTTGCTATTCATCTGTCACTGAGCATCCTCTTAGCATGCTTTCCTCTTGCATTTCCTACTTGCTATTCAAAGCCTCCTCAACTGCTACAAAGCCATCATCATTCTCTCCACTGTTGTCAAGCAAAACAGGAATTAATTAGCAAACCTATTATTGGGTTGAAGAATCTACTCCTGTGTCAAATACATTTGGACGATTTCATGCATTTGCAGTGTCTAACAGGGAATCTTGGAAACCACATTCATACGTCTGCTTAAGTCACTGAGCATAAGTCTCGGCTTGTAGTATGTACCCTAAACATAATCGTTGGACACTTGATACCTCATCCCACTTCTATAAATACATCTGTCAGAGTGAGAATAAGTTACTGGAGACAGACTTGCAGTGGAGTGTCACTGGGAAGCCCAAGGAAATTGGGTGACGGGATAGAAAGTTACATTTGAGAATGTTTGTGCTTTCCATTGTGGATTTGGAACATCCAAATGTGTCTCTGCACAATTTCCCTGCTGCTGAATTTTATATTCAGAACTTAACTTTGCTGTCTCCTCAACTCAAACAGCAGGTAACTTACAGGCCTTTTAAGTTACAATAACTTACGATTTTTCTTTGCTTCGTGCTAGTTTTTCATGTATTTTTATAGTGTCTGATATAAAATACAAAAGCTCTTGTCTTCAAAGGCATTCTCTTACATATTTTAATATATGAATCTACAATAATAAGCAAGCAATTCATTCATAATGGGAAATACCACATGTTTTGTTTGAGAGTTCAGTATGATATCTATGATATATTTGCTAACATGAAAGACATATTTTAGAAATAAAGCAATTATTAGTCTTTGTTCTTCTTATGTGCATATAAGATTATGCAGAGGTACAGAAATATATTCCTCACTAAATCCCTGAAGGATTATATAATATTTTGAGATTGCATACACATAGATTCCACTCTTTCAGTAATAAAAAATTGTTTGAACATGGATGCTTAATGATGGAAAGAAATAAAAAAGAAAGGAAAGGACATGACTACTCCTAGGTATGATGGAAGAGAAATTTTATCATAGATATACAGGAGAGAATAGGCAGAGGCATATGAGAAAGTCCAGAGTGGACATGACCAGTCTGAGTTGGGCCTTGTGTGGTGAGGGAGACAGAGAGAAGAAGGGAGAAGAGAGAGCGGGGAACCAGGTGCAGCAGCCAAGAGACCAAAGGTACAAGAAAGGAGTCGATGACCAAAATGTCTAGATTATATAGGGAAGAACCACTTGCGGAAGGGCAGCCCAGCCTCTGGGATAGAGAGTTCAGGGTAGAGGGAGCAGTTATGCTGTGATCCCTACCTGGTAACAGGTAGGGACTTAGGGATGCTGGGGGAACTTCTTGGCTAGGTCCAGCATTGCTATTTTAAATAAGCACCTTAGCTGTTTGTCCGGAGTTTGAAACTTAACAGATGTCAATTCTAAATTCTTAGGAGGAAATGTAGTCATACATATATGTGCAAAAAATGTTGCTGTCAGAAAGCAGCAATGACTATCACTGATGTTATTACCCTTTCATTAATAAATAGTAGTGATTATGAATTAAAATCTCTGTTGAATTATACACTTATACACTGCTTCCCAGTGAAGGAAACCAACATGTTTGTGTAGTACTCAAATATGACATGGTTGTCAGCTATCTTTGAAAAGTCAAAAGATCAAAGGGGAGATAAGAGATAGAATAGTTGCAAGAGTGTGTGCTTGGAAGATTTCAGAATAGTTCAGTCATTTAGAAGACTAAACTATAGACTGTAGATGGCAGGGTCTTTGCCTTACAGTGTTTTGTTCTTGACTTAAGGTCATGCATTATCTCCTGTGTGCCACAACCCTCATAGCAACCAGCTTCCTTTATGGCTTGCCGTACCCTTCACTGCTCTTCACTTGTATCTTAATACGTTCTCTGTAAAACAGTGCATGTTGTATTCCAAGCAAAAGTTCAAGGTGAGGGTTTTTGTGTAGTCAAAGAATCAAATTCCTTAGTTATTGTTCCAACCTTCAAAACAATTGAGACCCAAGACAAGGAACTAACTTCTAAAATAGAATATTGGTTCTGAGGTCAGACTCAAAAGTAATCATCATGACAACAGGGCTAGGACCACCAAATATGTCTTGTGTCTCAATATACAAGCTTTGCCTCTGCCACTCCGAGATAAAGGGGTTGAAGAAGGGCAGATGCAAAAGTCAGATTTAGGTCTCAGATTGCATGACTACATATGAACATGTGCGCTGTTTCCTTGCTAAAGGAAATAATATTGGTTGATAACACAGATCAGTTTAGTTGCTAAACAAATATTCAAATCTTGATGAATAAATCCCTGAGAAAGTTATTTTTAAATATTAATGTTTCACTCAGTGAAATCAAAGAGAAATTTTTACATATGACTTAAAGGTAGAAGGAATTTGGTCATTCTACATCACCTCTCATTAAATGCTTGCAAGGGCTTACTGGTGGATTAAAAACGATCACAGGCACCTTCTTCCTTGTTACCTTACTAGTGGTCTTTGCTGTACTTCAGGCATGAACTTCTTGAAGAAGCTCGTAGAAAAGGATTACCTTTTGCCCAGTGGGATGGACCCACTGTGGTTGCTTGGCTGGAGGTAAGAAAAGCAAATCAAAAACTTGACTTAAGTCAATCATTGCTAATTTGTTTATTTGAAGACAGATAAAGACCGATTTGAAATCACAACTTCCCTGTATCATATAACTTTTCGTAAAGGAAACACATTCATGCCTATGAATTTGTGACCACTGAGATGTCATGGATTCTTTCTTGTGTTGGGACAGAGCAAAATATGCAATGATGTGTAAACAGATGTGTCCCCATGTTCTGTCCTCTCCATGGGTACTAGAATAGGAGAATAAATTATTACTGCCGTGGTTTGGAGGTTTGGAGGAAGTATCAGCTCCTATCTACCAATCGTCATCAGTAAGAAAGAAAAAAGTTAAAAACAAATTCATTTCACACTGAAGTAAATGCTGATGAAGCATCTAGAATGTTCTACCCTTGTTTATACTTAAATTTCTAAAATGGCTACGGACTGGCTAAGTTTAGAGAGTTGTGAATAAACAGGAGGCTGAGACCTATGTTTCCTCCTTTGTCTAAGTCACATAAGCATTCATATTACTTTATGATTACTAAGTTAATTAATTAATTGATCAGGTGATAATTAAATGTTGTTTGATATAACAAGAACAGCATTCTATGTTTCCTCTAAGATAAATGCTGTCGAAAATAAAGCAATATTTGACCAAGGTAGAAGAGAGCACCCTGGCAGTGAGTGAATTGCATATTTGACCCCAGGTTGGCCCCGTGTTGCACACCAGGAGCATGGACTGATCTTCACATTCACCTTTCCTAGGTGGCCCAATGGTAGCCAATAGGATAGCTTTTGTCAGGAGAAAGCAATGAGGATTTTCTTGTCTGGCTAAGACAATGGCATACATTGAAATAATTCTGAATTATAAAGTAACTTAACATTATCATTGCATCATATATAGGGCTAAGTAAAGACCAAGTTAAAAAAAGAAAGCTAAATCTTATTGTACTTTAAAAATGTTCAGTTAGACAGGTAGATAGAAAAACACATTTTTTTTAAGTTTCTTTTTTCTTGGGCTAACTGAAATAAACCTGAGTTCTGCTTTTGTTATATCCTTTCAAAGTAATTAATTACAAAGTTACCTCTTCAAGCTTATCTTTAAGTTTCTATGCAAAAAAAAAATCATAACAAAGAACAAAAATACTGGACCACTAGAGGAAAGGTTTAAGAATTCACGCCACAACAAGGACAGGGATTCTTTGTTCAGATGTCATTCCAAGAAAATGAGCTAGGGTTTGACAGAGAGTGAGTTGCTATTTTGGCAAAGGATGAACAAATTCTTCAGATGAAGAAACAAAGCAGATTTCCTGACACTCAAGTGCTGGAAAATGACAGCCAGTGAAGCCAGAGCTAATTAAACCTATCCAGGGTACTGAAATTGCTCCTAATGCGTTTCCTAATGCGCCTCAAATCACAAAATGGAACAAACAAGATGAACAAGCATGCTGAGACCATAAATGGGAGCCCTTAACTTTTACCTCTTTTCCTTCTTCCTGGTGTGCACAGTCTATAAAGAATGTCGTGTGGGAGGAAGTCTACCCCTTTCCCCATCATTTATCCACATCAAAAACTCTTCAGTGTCTAATTATTGATGACATTTGTAACAATGGATTGGCAATGTTTGTGTAATGTTAACCAGAGTGCAATTTCAAACATCTTAGATGATGGCTAGGAAATCATTAGGGATGAGTGAAGGTTTATAGATGTTTATTTATCTTGCAGTGTTTCAGTTTATGCACCAAGTGAGATGGCCAATCATCTGTACCCTCTAGTGTCCTCATCAACATAAGGCTAATCTTAATGTTCTTCCCCTTCCGGAACTCAGTGGGGACCATACAAGAGCATTATTATATCGTTATATCCTGTGTTGGATTTCAACCACATCCCAAGTCACACTGATTCAGAGTTACCATTCTTTTCCTTGAGTCTTTCACATTATAGACTTATTATGTTGTAGGATATACAGAAATAAATATGTCTGTATCAGTTAGCTACTCCTGAATAACAAGTTATACCAACAAGGATGTATTATCTCACTAGTTTTATAGGTTATATGTAACTACTTGAGTGGAATGTTTGGTTTGGCTAAGGTTCGTGCTTTGGTGAAAATCACAATGCTAATAATAGTACATTTGTCTTAATCCATGACAGGCACGCTGTCTCAGCATTTAGAACTCAAAAGGAGAATTATATGTACTCATTCAATAAAAACCATTCAAGCCACTGACCCATTGGAACTTGAAGATAAGTTCTTGTCATTATAAACAAGTAGAAAATTCTGCCTCTCCCTAAAAATTGGTATCAGTGTAGCTCGAAAGCCGTAATATCTCAATTCAAATTAATTACTTCCTGATTGTTGTCTGCTCCATATATTCAGTGTATTTATATTACCTATCTCTCTAGTCAAGAATCATAGGATTTATCTCATGGAGTTGTGTTGTAGGAGACGGATTGTTTGTTCCAGGCTGCTCAGCCCCAAAATAACCACATAGAAACTGTATTAAATCAAAAAGAAAGGGAAAATGAAATAATGAAACAATTTCCCTAGGGGAAAAAAAGAAACTTTATTAACTAAATCACTGCTTGGCCCATTAGCTCTAGCTTCTTATTGGCTAACTCTAACATATTAATTTAACAATTTCTGCTAGTCTGTATATTGCCACAAGGCTGTGGCTTACCAGATAAAGTTCTACCATCTGTCTCTGGTAGGAGTACATGGCTTCTCCCTGACTCCGCCTTTTTTCTCCCAGCATTCAGTTTAGGTTTTACCACCTACCCAAGTTCTGCCTTGCGCAGGCCTAAGACAGTTTCTTTACTGTAAACCAATTGTATTCACAGCATCAATAATAGAAAGGAAGGCAGGGAGGCTAGAATGGATATAAGTATGATAGCAAGACCACAGAGCAGCTTGTCCAATGCACCATTAATCAGGAAGCAGAAAAAGAACATACAAATGTACAACTTTCTTATTGGTTTTTATTCATTCTGAAACTGCCTCCCACTGGTTATTCTTCTCATATTCAGGGTGTCTTTCTTGCTTTGTTTTACCTTTCTGGAAATTTCTTCATAGACATGCCCAGCAATGTGTTTCACAGGCAATTCTAAAATCCAGTCAAGTTGTAATGAAGATCTTACCTTCACAGATAATAACTAAGATTATTTTTTCTCCAAACACGACAGCTCTGGTTGGGAATGCCTGCTTGGTACGTGGCAGCCTGCAGAGCCAATGTGAAAAGTGGAGCCATCATGTCGGCTTTGTCGGACACGGAAATCCAAAGAGAGATTGGAATCAGCAACCCTCTGCATCGCTTAAAGCTCAGACTAGCCATTCAGGAGATGGTTTCCCTCACGAGCCCTTCAGCTCCTCCGACCTCGCGCACTGTGAGTCAATGTGCACCCCTCCTTCCTTTGAAGCTGACATCATAGCGGTCTAACCCCACAGAGCAAAGCGTGACAGCTCACATTTCGGCGTCACCATGAGTTATTTTAAAGAGATATGGCTTGGTCTTCATTAATCCCCGCTGTACTTTGAATAGGTCTAATTGAGCAGGTCTAATTCCAAAAAAATCTTGAGAGCTTCAAACAAAACGAACTTCGGAGTTTAGATGGGAGTTTAGATTTTTCTTGAGGCAGAAAAATCCCAAAGTTTATTGGGTTTTTTTTGTTTTTTTTTTTTTTCGGAATCTCCTCTTCTGTTTAATGAAATATGGCATCTTGGGATTATTCACAAGCATTACAGGTTTCTGAAGATGCACAGTTTAACTTATTACTCATAAAAAACTTCATGATAAAAATTGTATATGATTTGACGTTTTTAAACACAAATTGGAATTATCCACTTCAAACTTTGGGCCCATTTATAATCCCTTTTATAACCTAGTACTAAAAAATAATAAACTGAAAAAGGCATTGCTAATGATCAGTATATTCATCAAGAAATAGTCTGAAATGGTATTTTATTTCACGGGTTAGTAAGTTTTTGCTGATAAATGTGTAATCGCTTGTGTTAACTAGATATCTCTAGCCCACCATCTTAAACAACATAGGAAACTATGAAAGAACAAAATTAAATTGGTAGAGAAAAGTGGTATTTCTTTATTGCAGCTTTCAGACACCAAACTGACTTCAATGTGCTTCTAAGAAGGACTTAGATAACCTTAAAAATTTTTTTATTGAGTCTATCATACATACAACCCCTCCCCAATATTCAAGAATTTAAAGGCAGAGATGTACGGTAAGATTTCAGAGATGTGTGTACTTCTTGTATACTTATATTTTAGTTACTTCCTCAATACTGTGTAAGAAATATATATATGTAATTTCTACTTACAATATTATTTCAAATAGATAAGAATGTACTCTGCTAATATATTCCAGATAAAGGTAATTTAAAATATTCTTATAGTAATAATTGAAGTCCATTAAAATAGTTATTACCGTAAGTCAAATTCAGAACTGAAGGCCTTTATGAGTATTTTCAACTGACCAAATAACAATGTAACTGGTTTATAGAGAGCTTTCTTCTTCCAAAAGTAAATGCAACAAGAAACACTATATATTCAAATCCTGAAAAATCACAACAGTCAAACTTCCAACTTCCACATTTAAAGAATGGGACATACTATATCATTTCTTTAAGTTGCAAAAGCAAATCCCTTTCTTAGAAAATGTTTTGTAAAAATCACGTTTTCCCCTAAGATGTTTACCCTGAAGCAAGTTAAATTGCAGATTAAAGATAAAACTATATTGATTTGTTGCAAAAGCAGACAAAAATGAGGAATTCTTGAGATATTCAGAATTTAGCTGCATTTGTCCTCAAAAGATTATTTTGTTGTTGTTATTATTGTTGCTGTCTCTAGAACATTCTTCCAACTTCAGAGTCACAAGACCTCCCCTACATGTCTTTCATTTATTAATATCTGAAAAACTTCCTGCTAAACACCCTAAAATTTGAGTTTCTTTCCTACCAGGCATTAACATTTTATGTACACTTAAAAGGATTCTTTAAAATGGTCTCTTTTTTGACTCATCATTGACGAAACAAGAAAAGTACCAATGTTTGCCCCAGGTCTTACAATGATCATCAGGTATACTGTAATTATTCTAAATATTCACCTAAAACATAACCATTGCAGGGTTGAACAGTGTTTCAGTGGATTATGTTCTTGCCATGTGAGCTTAAGGAGAGAAATTTAGATCCTCAGACCCAGATTTTATAAAAATAAAAAAAAAAAACCTGGGTGAGTTTTTCGGCATATCTGTAAGCCCTGTATGGGAGGCAAAGATAGGAAACAGGGAAGAGACCAGATGAACGTCTAAGTTCATATTCATCAAGAAACCCTGCAACAATAAAGTAGTACTTCTTCAAAAAAGACACCTAAGCTCAAATTCTGACTTCTATTTATATACTTAGATATATACATATACACACCATATACATGTAAGTTTGTAATATGCATGTATTTGAGTGCACACACACACGCACACACATACACAAACCCAAATATAGTCATTGCGTAGGACTTGCTCCCCAAGCTATACAGAGGATATAATCTACACATGGCTCTGAGTCATCGTGCCCCCCAAAATATAATAAGTAAGGCATGTTGAATATGAACTTCAGTATGGCTGAAATTGTTTAGTTCCTATGTGTGAGATGGAAGCAGAGTTTAAAAAAAGATAAATATTACTAAAAATTAGTATAATTTTTCATTAAATTTTTAATAGGGACAGGGCAGAAGGACATAGAGGAAGATACCCAGAACTTACATCTGACCTATGTGCCTGCTCAAACACTGAAAACTTGTGCCTACACCGTGCATACACACACACACACACACACACACAACACACATACACACACACACACACACACACACACACACACACACTGTTTCATGCACACAAGAGAAAACAGAGAAAAGCACATTTTAGGAAAATAAACCTTTACACGAAATGTAGGTTCTTAGCATGCAACTTGCAAAAGTGTGGCGATCACGTTTTCACAAATTGCCCGGGGATTATGCTCATTTTGTAAGTGAAGATAATTATACAACCATAGCTTCTAGAATCTTACTCATCCCAGAACTCTTCGCATAACTCCCAGGACAGAATTTCAGAAAACCTGTGGGAAAGCTCTGCTCTGTTAAGAGATGATACTGGTAAAGGCCCCTATGGAAAGAGTAAGATCATCCTTATCTGGTGACAGAGTCAATGGGAAGCTGCAAACATCAATGAGCTGAGTGACTCTGCTATTGTAAATCTGTTTCATAAGTGCATACTTTACTCTATAAGAAAACTTGGCTACAATGAAAATCTGAAGCAGTTAAGGGTGAGGATCCTGTGCATACATATAACACTTAGCCATTCTAATATTTATTTATTTATAATTATGGACCTTCACTATATAAACCTTTGTTATAAAAATGTATTTGCGCATATTATTTTATCTTGTATAAGTGCTCTATCTGCAGGTATGCCTGCATGCCAGAAGAGGGCATCAGATCTCATTCATTATAGATGATGGTGAGCTAAGATGTGGTTGCTGAAAATTGAACTCATATACTCTGGAAGAACAGCCATTGTTCTTAACTGCTGAGCCATCTCTCCAGTCCCTTTGTGCATATTATTATATACATATGAGAATAACATGTATGATTCACTAATATGTAATTTATGTGAGATTTCTTTCATATCAATTAATATTCATTGTTTTATTTTTCATATAATTATTTCTAAAATTATATCAACATACCTTATTCATTTTTCATAAGGAAAATTAAACATGGTTTTAGGTGAAGTGTAGAAAGTTCCCGGAGTAGCTTGTGATATTTGGACATTGCCTTCGATGCTCCTTTCAAAACAAGGAACTAAAAAGTTTCATAACCTGGAAAACTTTGCATATAGATTTCCTGGGGAAAATGTGAAATTTGATATGAAACAGTATCCAATGGGAGGAACCTTAAATAATATTATGTTAGTAAATGATTTTACATTCATTATTGATTATGTGCTATACAGAGCTCATACCAGATTCTTTGCCTAGAAAAGAAAGGAGACACTTCCCAAAATGCTAGGTCATTGTAGAGAAAATTTCAGTTTATTCTGTGTTTGACTTTTGGGTAAAGCACTTACCTCGCATACCCAAGAAAAGCTTATTACAATGGTAATTTAGTTACCCTCCTGGTGCTAACAAAGCAAGTTTAAAGAGAAAGGATTTATTTTGTTAATGGTTTCAGTGGGATACAGTTCGTTGTGGTAAGGAAGACATTGCAGCATGCTGGGAAGCATCCTGGCAGAAACAAGCAGCAGACCGTACTCAGGAAGCACATGTAGGCTGAAGTGGACTTCGAGGCCTGGCCACTGTGACTCGGTTTATCAGTTAGGTTCTACCACGTAAAGCTTCCACAGCCTTCCTCAAGTTTCTACCATTTTGAGACTAAGTGTTCAAACACATGAGCCTATGGAAACAATTCAAACCACAATAGATGCTTATAAAATATAGTTGAATAATAAGGAAATGAATATTTGGGTATTTGACAGTATTGGTGAAGATGAGACTTATCTTTTTTCTAAATCAAAAGTATTATAAGATAATGTTTCAGGTCTATTTCCTCTCCAAGAATGCAGGGGAAAACACATTTATTGAATTAAAAACACAAACAAAAAAAAAAAAACCCACCAACAACAAGAAACACACCTGGCTAATCTGTTGCTATTTTCCAGACTATGGGGTTTATGGCTTCTCTGCAACAGTTGTTTCCCAGGACACTGATTAATAAAAGCACGTGAATGAAATTTCCCTTGATAAGCACTTTTGGGTCATAACGTTAGAAGAAAAAGAGCAAAACTACATTATTTTATACTTAGCTTGCTATTTTACAGTATTGAACCTAATGATCACCGTCATTTGGAACGTGAAGTTTTACCAAAGCAGTTTTTGTTTAACAGCCCAAGAATAGTTACAAATACAAGCTTTCCAGCATGACTCTCTAATCAGTCCCTTGAGAAAGTTAAAAAGGGGCCTTAGGCGGTTTACTCATGATGCATGCCTAGAGCAGGAGAGATGTAGTATGTGCAATGCTGTTGACTGACAGAAGTGCCTCCTTTTTCTCTACCCTGTTTTCCCTCCATGGTTGGCTCTGCTTCCCTTGGGCTCCTCCCTAGCCTTCAGGCAATGTCTGGGTGACCCACGAAGAAATGGAAAACCTTGCAGCTCCAGCAAAAACGGTTAGTCTTCAAAGCCTTGTTGAACCCAAACAAAAGTAATTGTATGTAGAAAAAGACAGGAATTGGTATACTATAAAGCAAAGGAATGGGGTGTATTTATGTAGAGACATACAAAGATAACTGATATTTTGGTTATAGATTTCCTTTAATATGCTTGTTTGGCGATTGAAAATGAAGTCATGTTAGATTGTCATGTGCTTTTTATCCTGAGCATCTATGGACTGCTCTTAAAATATGAAACTGTAATAAATAATTTAGTAAATTTAGAAACATTGGACATTTTGATAGTCAGTATCTCCTAGCACTGAATGTGGTAACAGGAATAAATGTTACTAATTCAAACTTAATCAGTTGTAGAAAAGCTTCTATGGGATCATCACTTTTAATGTAATTATATAATGTCTTGGGCTATAATATTTCACAAGTAGACTTCCTAGGAAAAAAATATTGAAGTGTTATATGCATTTGGTTTTTTTTTAAATATTTATTTATTATGTATACAGTATTCTGTCTGTGTGTATGCCTGAAGGCCAGAAGAGGGCACCAGACCCCATTACAGATGGTTGTGAGCCACCATGTGGTTGCTGGGAATTGAACTCAGGACCTTTGGAAGAAGAAGCAATGCTCTTAACCTCTGAGCCATCTCTCCAGCCCCATGCATTTGGTTTTTAAAAGTACATTTGAAATGACTTCAAGCATTCTAATTGCCAGCTTTAAAAATGTGATGTTTTATAGAGTCATATTTCATGAAAGGATCAAAGTTGGACAAACCATGTATTTTACCTCAACAACTTAATTTTTAAGTTCTTTCACTGTAATTCTCCTTTAAAAATTTGGTTATCTGGAATGTAACGGTGTAAAGGTCACAAAGGAATGATACATGCATCACTGGATATTTGGTTGCATCCTTTCTTTGGTCTTCTTGGTTGGCTGTTTGAGGGTATGTTTGTCCTAAGCTTTGACAGAAAGATACAGTTATTCACTTCGTTAATCTCTAGTCTGTAACCTTTCTGCATTATGTATAGGTACATATAATTATGTTTGTGCTAAATATGAAATTTTAAACATAACCAAAGATAGTCAGATCAAGTTTTCACAAAACTCATAAACTCCAGTATGCTCATGTGTATTTAAATTAGAGTTAATTCAAACTCTGTTGTGTGCTCTGCATTTGAGAAGTTGAATGGATGTAAGTACACGCGTGTCTGCTTTTGTCATCATTCTTAAAACGTACTGTCTTGCTATCATGCTTCTGATAGAATTTTTTCAATATTCACTCAAAATTAATTTATGTTTACCTGCTTTATTAATCACTTCCTGCTGCTAACCCAGAAAGAATCTGAGGAAGGAAGCTGGGCCCAGGTAGGAAACTCATACACTTTAAGACATAGTAAAATATGCAATATAAATTTGAAAACTACTGAAGGTGATATTTGAAAACATCACTTATCTTAGTAATTATACTGCTACATATACCTAAGTGTCAGTATTATATCTAATATATTATAGGTGCATTGCTCTACACCAGATTTTGCCACTAAGATGAATGTCACTTCATAATTGGTATATATAACTGGGTAATTTCTCTTTCTTCCCCCAAATATGAATCTATAACTTAATTTCTCTGAACTTACTCTGTAATGTCTATAACCAAGATATATAATCATAAAATTTGTATCTCTGAGGACACCTTAAAAAGACTTTTTGGAGTCCTATATGCTTTCAGGTGCCATGGGTAGTATTTGGGGACAGGTATTAGCATAGCAGGTGTAAAATGACGATAGTCCCGATTATTAAACTGATCATAAGAGACAGAAGTTTATATTGAATTATTCAGTGTGTGCAAAAAAGTGTACTTTTTGGCATTTCTAAAAGTCAAAAACTGACAGAATAAATTGAGAAAGTAAATAAAATTTGGCACCTTTATAAGGATCTGGATTTCGGCATGCTATAGCATAGAATTGCAATCAATTTTGAAACTGAAGCAAATTTCAGAATTCTTCACAAAAAGAATATCCTGATTTTTACTATATTTATATAGTTTAATTATAACTGTGAATTCATGGCATAATTATTCACTAAGTAGACAACTCTTTAAAATTAGTATCCTTTAAATAATTAATAATATTCATCCTTTAATATCCTCAAAAATTTAATGATGGTAGTCAACCTCACATTTTATTTTACCTGTTTGAACACTATGTAGCAAGACCAGTCCTTACATTACAAAAGAGGATTAGCTTGTCTGTCTTAGTTTGTGATCAAGCCTGATATACACACAGTCTAAACTGACTGACTTCTGATGAAGGATTCTTCCAGGGACCTAATGGATGCTCAATATACTATCTTCTCCAAAGCATAATGCCAAGTTTCAGCATGCTGTCTTTCACTCTTGCTGTTTTTCTTAGTTGTTTACTAAGGTTTCTGTTTCACTTCAAGGTTTGCTATGACACAGGGACAATAGCAATAGGATCATTAATAGAGGGAAATGAGCAGTACTTCAAACATAAAAGAAAGAAAAGAATTCTCCTGGTATAGCAATGGAATCTTTCGTCTTAAAACGCATACCATACCTCTAGCTGTATGTTTTTACCCTATTTCTAACTATATGCTCGCCTTTATCATTAACAAGACACATATATGAACAAAATTTACTGTTTTAAAATACACCATGAGGTTAATTATTTCTACAGGCAAATGTTCTATAAAATTGTGCAGAGTTTGCATTGTGTTAAAGTAAACAAAATGCATTCAGGTCAAATATTATCTCTCTTTTTGTTGACACATGTATCATAGTCATGAAGTTTGAGTCATACTACTTGCTATTATCCTCCATTTACCATCTCATTTTATTGGTTAAGAAACTTGACTGCTATAAAACAATTCCAGTGTCCGGTCTTTCTACAGACCCTGGCTTATGGAGATATGAATCACGAGTGGATTGGAAACGAGTGGCTTCCCAGCCTGGGGTTGCCTCAGTACAGAAGTTACTTTATGGAATGCTTGGTTGATGCAAGAATGTTAGACCACCTCACCAAGAAAGATCTTCGTGTCCATTTAAAAATGGTGGATAGTTTCCATCGGTAGGTTTTCAGAAAAAGAGTGATGAAAGTGAAACCATAAACAATCTGCAGCGAACTAACACAAAATAGAAGGACAGTAGAAAGGCAGTGTTTCTCATTCAAAAGGTCTGTGTCATCTACTTGGAACATGTACTCGAGCAACAAACTGAAGGGTGTACTTGTGGAGAGCCATGTTTATGTTATATGCCTGGAGTTTATGCAAAGGCACATATATGAGTTATGTTCATAGTATGTACTTTTTTTTCTTGCTTGGATTTTTTAAAATTATTTTTTCAGTTTATGTTAGAGAATCACCTATGGAGGAAAGAGATGTTTCCGTGGTTACGATCACTAGGTGCTCTTGCAAAAGACCCAGATTCGGGTCCCAGCATCCATATGGTGGGTCACAACCATCATTAAGTCCAGTTCCAACTGATCTGATGCCCTCTTCTGGCCTTCATGGGCATCAAGCACGTACATGGTGCACCCATATGCATGCTAGCAAAACACACATAAAAGGAAATGAAAAAAATCTAAGAACAAAAGAAAAATTCTATGAATGGTACCTGAATATTTGTAGTTTCACCCTTTAAAAATCCATGTGGTTATAAACCATGTAACTTAAAGACATACTAGAGAAAAACAGGAAAGAGACTCTTCTATGAAGGACATAATTATGCTTTTTGGTCTTACATAAATGTTCACATTTTGGGTTATTAGCACATTAGTTTTTTTTAAAAAACTACTGAATGGTTTAATTAAAATCCATCAGAACATGAGAATAAGGGACAAATATTTGATTTAGATCATTTATCTTCTATCAGGCTTACAGGGGCTAATGCTGAATGACATTCTTTTTTTAAATTCTGTGTTGTAGTCTGATAGCCTCTACTCTAGGCTGTGGAGGAAAAGATCAAGGAATAGACAGATCTGTTTATTTGGCGACCTTGCATCCTCATTGTCTTTCCACATTTCGTCTTTCCTCTATAAGCATACACTTCTCCTGTATTATTTATTCTTATAACAATAGATTAGGGTCTGCTTGGTTACATTGTTTAAACTGGTTACCTTTTAAAGGCCGTCTCCAAATATAGTCAAATTCTTGATAATGGAGGTAAATATTTCACTATATGCATGTAGGGACTTATACATTCATGTTCTTTTTTCTAGGATTTCAGAAGTTTATGTCATATTGTTATTAAAATATATAACAGAAATATATACATGCATATATGTGTATGTATGTATGTATGAATGTATAGACTGCTGTATATGTCTGAATATACTGCTAAATATTTAAGAAAGTAATGATAGTCAATAATTATTACATTAAGCCTAAAATTCTTTTATTTTCATTCATACTCTTATTTCTCATATTATTCAAACTATTATTATTATGTCTATTTTTATTATTTCTTCTCCCTGGGTATCTGTGAGGTTTCCTTTTCATACTTACTGCTCTAAGGCCTTAATTTTAATATCTTAGGATCATTTCCTTATATCATACATATTATGAGATCATTGTTCCCTAAACAAAACAAAAATGGCAAGAAATCCTTATATTATCATCCTTTCCCCCTGTGAAACTTACCCCAGAATGCATCTCATCCATGGAATGAAAATCTTGCTTTGACATATCCAGATTTCCTATAGGTCTACCTAGTGTGCCTCCATATCAACACATCTTTGAAATTTCTTCCACAGTACTGCAGTATAATATATGATGGTCTGTTTCCCTAGTAGCCCAACCTTTCCTGCATCCTACTCTGTATAGTGCCGTGATGCTTCTCTTCCACAGCAGCTTCTGTGCAGTCTCAGTAGACTCAGTAGGCTTGTTCTTTTTTGACTCGCTGGTCTTTCCTAGTGCGCTTTGCGATTTGTCCATATCCTGTACTCTGCCTTAATTCACTCATTTTTTTTTTTTATCAGCCAAGGAATCATTGGTTGTCTATAAAGTTGTTTCTGTCTCTAAAGAGAGACATTAGTTTTTTTCCTGAAGGACTAGAAGACTAATTTGTTAAAATGTACTATAGAAAATGTTAAATTGAAGACAGGTGCACAACTATCTATATAATTATGTGTGTATACATATGGATATGTATGGAACTATGGATAACTATGTCTAATTAATTTCAAAATTATGAATATCTTATTCTTTAAATATTTTCTGTGTTTTAGAAACAGTTTATTCTTGATATAATTAAAAATTTAATTCTACCCAATTTAAGGGTGCTATTGTGTATGTAACTGATAAATGGGCTCTTCTAACCAGTAATGTAGATCATTAACAGAATATTCTTCATCTGCTGATGCAATTTAATGTGTTTTCTCTTTTCTAAAATAGAACAAGTTTACAATATGGAATTATGTGCTTGAAAAGATTGAATTATGATAGAAAAGAATTAGAGAGAAGACGAGAAGCAAGCCAACATGAAATAAAAGGTAAACACATCCTCATTTAGTAACAAATGTCTTTCCTATGGACATTTATACCTCTAATCTTAAACCTAAAATAATGTATATAATACATCCATTATCAGACTGTATTACACTTTTTGTCCCAAGTGTCATTATTGTCTCGTCCCTAATTATAACATGGAAAAAGAAATTGCCAAATCATTTTGAGGATACACTCTTGTCTTCCTAGAAGTAGATTTATCTCTCTAAATATATGTTCTCTGCCCACGTTAAAAGTAGCACTCTGGGCCAGGTGGGGGTGGCACATGCCTTTAATCCCAGCACTCGGGAGGCAGGGGCAGGGAGATCTCTGTGAATTTGAGGCCTCCTGGTCTACAGAGCAAGTGCCAAGACAGGCTCCAAAGCTGTCTTGAAACCCTGTGTCAAAAAAAATCAAAACAAAAAAAAAATCCAATAAAACAACAACAACTAAAAATCAAACAAACAAAAAAGGGGCTCTGTAGAACTTTTTGTTAAACTTTTAGAAGAATGTTGTCACTATAACACAAAAAATTGGTATGTTTTTTATACAGCATATATTATTTCATTAAGAAAAAAGAACTCAACATAAGAAAATCTGTGGGACACTAAATCCATAACAATTTACCTGTTTACCTTAATACACAGGAGAAAACATGATTTTAAAAACAAGTATAATAGATTTTCATTTGTTCAAGACCATTAGCTCTTTCCAATTGTTAAAGAAAAGTGGTTGGAAGTAGATTTCATCTTGGTTTTCAGAAAATTTATATAAATATAAAAATTATATGGGAATTTGTGTGGAAGTTCTATAAAATATTTTCTCTCTGAAAGTTACCAGTCCATTAATAATTTTAATTCAGGATGTTGTTATGATACGAGACTAGCTGTTGTAATCATTCTGTGCACAAAGACCATCTGTGCTGCAAATATATCTGAAACGGAATATACTTAATAATTAACCATGCTATTTTCAGTTTTGAGTTATTATAACAAAATATCAACATAAGTTTCTAAAGAAGAGATGTATCTCCAAGTTTGTGAGGCTAAAAATCCACACAGCATGGCACAGACTTTTGTGCGAATCTTTCTTGCCCTCATAACCTCACAGTGGCTAACAATTCAGGAAGCAACAGGGGTTATAAACAATTACCTTGCCAGATAAGATTCTAGTTCTTAGCCGATTTAGTCATTTATAACAACCTATAATGACATTTTGTGTTTTAATAAATAAAGTTTGCCTGGAGATAAGAGTTCAAAGCAATCACACTAGCTAGCCATAGAGGTCAGGCAGTAGTGGTGCACACGTTTAATCCCAGCATAAGAGAGTACTATAAGATGGAAGGAGACAGGAGCTCAGGTTCTCAGTCTACAGTCTGAGGTTTGGTGGACAACATTGCAGTCTGCAGTCACTCTGAGGATAGGTTTACCCCTTTCTTTCTCTGAGCCTTGGTAGAGGTAAAAATCTCTCTAGTGACCGACTGCTTTGCTTTTCTGATCTTCAGGGTGAACCCCAATATCTGTCTCTGGGTTTTTATTATTTGTGCTACAACAACTCCCTTATGAGAATGAGCAAGAAGTCCACTCTACCCCCTTCCAAAGAAAGTAACCACTGCTAACCTAAGGACCCCTCAAAAATTTCCTCTTAAGATTTCTATGTTAACTTCACTATACTATCTCATTAGCATATATCATATCCTATATGACATCACAAGCATCGAGAACAGAAAAAAAAGCAAAATACCTGTTCACCTTAATATAGAGGAGAAAACATAATTTCAAAAGCAAATACACTATGCTTTCCCTTGTTAGAGACCATTAGATCTTTTTAATTGATTAAATAAAATCAATTTGGACATAAAATATATGATGTGGGATGTTCTTCTGTATAGAAGTTGTTTCTATTTGTTGATGAATAAAGTTGTTTCAAATGTCTTAGCAGAGTAAATCCGGATGGGAAATCTAAAGAGAGGAATATATATAGAGAGTAAGCAGAATCAAAGAGATGCCATGTAAATGCTGAAAGAGAAAGATGCCAGAATATTACCAGTAGGCCACAGCCTCATGATAATACATAGATTAATAAAAAATGTGTTAATTTAAGATGTAAGAACTAGTTAGGAATATTCCTGAGCCTTTGCCAAAACAGTGTAGTAATAATATAGTTTTTGTGTGATTATTCTGGTTGGGGTCACCGGGAAATGAAAGAAAGTGTAGTCTCTGTATACAAATACAAGCATCCAGAAGCCTCAGGTTTTTCTGTTTGTTTGTTTGTTTTGTCTTTGTAAATTTTCTTAATCTCTTATATTTTTTAAAGTAGGAAAATCCTTTTAAAATGTGTTTAAATGTTTTTGAGGAAATTTTTAAATATTATCTTCGTTGGGGTTTCTATTGCAGTGATGAAACACCATGCCCAAACAGGAAGTTGGGGAGGAAAGAGTTATTTGTCATATAACATCCATATCACACTGTTCATCATTGAAAGAAGTCAGGACAGGAACTCAAACAGGGCAGGAACATTGCAGCAGGTGCTGATGTCAAGGCCATGGAGGGTACTACTCACTGGCTTGCTTCCCTTGTTTTGCTAAGTCTGCTTTCTTAAAGAACCCAGGACCACCAGCCCAGGGGTAGCCCCACCTGCCATAGTGTGGGACCTCCTACATCAATCATTAATAAAGAAAATGCCTTACAGGTCTGCCTATAACCTGATCTTATGGAGGTATTTTTAACCACTTATTTCTTTAATTTCCTTTTACATTCCAACTACAGTTCTCCCACCACCCCTCCTCCCACCACCTCTCACCCCCCAGTCCACCTCCCATCTACTCCTCCTACCAGGTAAGGGTTTCCATAGGGAGTCAACAAAGGCTGTCCTGTTAAGTTGGGACAGGATCAAGTCCCTCCCACCTGCATTAAGACTGATCATGGCATCCCACCTTAGGAAATGGGCTCCAACAAGCTAGCTCATATACTAGGGTGGAGGCAATTTCTTAATTTGGGTTACTTCCTCCCAGATGACATTAGGTTTTGTCAAATTGACACAAAGCTATTCAGCACAGAGAAGAAATTATTTATCAGTTATAGTCCCATTTCTCATGACCCATGGCCTGACACTGGCAAGCGTTTCAAAACATTGAGTGGGATTGTTTGGGTCTAGGCCACATTACCTGTTCAGAACTGGTACAACTCTGTTTCATCTTCACTTCCTTTGTGGCTTATTTTACATAAGAAAATGGCATGTTTTACATACCCCTCTCATCTCCTATTAAAATTTAACTCTGATGCTGTTATTTGATATTCCCTGGGTCAGGCTTCCCTTATTCATTTGTCTCCACTTCAGAACATTTATCTCGAGCAATTCTGAATGCTAAATAACTTCTAGAAAGCTCCACTTGAATGCTTGTGAAGATGAATATTTGAAAGTTTTTTCAATACATCATCAGTTCATCAGTTTGTATACACAATGGGTTTTTTTTCCACCACTTCATTTAGCTTGCTACCAAGAAGCAAGAGTGTATTTTTCTTTCTTTGTCAAAAACAAGTTCTCTAGCCGGGCGGTGGTGGCGCACGCCTTTAATCCCAGCACTTGGGAGTCAGGGACAGGCAGATCTCTGTGAGTTCGAGGCCAGCCTGGTCTACAAGAGCTAGTTCCAGGACAGGCACTAAAGCTACAGAGAAACCCTGTCTCGAAAAACCAAAAAAAAAAAAAAAAAAGAAAAGAAAAAGAAAAAGAAAAAAAAACCAAGTTCTCTGATGCTTTTTCTTTAGTTTTGGACTCCAAGAAATTGTAGGTTGTTTTAAGTGTATCATTCTACAGCTGAATTAAAATTTGGGAACTAATGGACCAAGGGCAGATGCCAGAAGTGAATGTGGGTATGACCTAACAAAAGATGCTTGTTTCGTGAGTAGATTTTGTCCGTGGGATACCACTTTCTCATGTTCTCTCTGAAGTATGTTTTCCAACTAGATTGCATTATGGCTGGCCCCACTTAGATTGATCTAAAGGAGGAGAATTGCACATTTGGCCTAGTAGCAAATGCTCTATTATTATTTGGCAGTTGTTGCTTAGACTGTAGCCTTGAGAGGAAGCTGCTCTGATTCACTGTGATTACAAACAATCACATATGAGTGCCTGCCAGTGAGATCATAAGTAGCCCCTGCTTCCCACAATTGATCTGATGGCATTTAGAGGCCCAGCTCTCAACTCGGACTAGACGCCTCTGTTATTATGGGAAGTGTTAATTAACTAGAAGTACTAATTAACCTTGACCTTAGAAAGCATGTTTCTGACAAGAATGTACTAACTTTTAACTTGTTGCCAAGAAACAGCTGACGTTGATCGTCAGCCATTTGCTGTTTGGATCTAGAGAATTCTTATTAAGCATAAATGCCAGGGTATAGTTTTGCTATGAAAGATATTTATAATATTACAGTTTCTATGAGGCTGTCCCTAAATGGAAAAGTTACAGTTAAGAGTTTATTGGTCTCAATGCCATAAATGCATTGTTTTATTTACTTATTCTTAACTGCATGCATGATGGAGATTTTGCCTGATATATATTTACAGAAACAAATTAATATATCTTAGACGACCAAGCATGAAAAAGCATGTTTATGTACATATTTGCATCTACACATTGTGAAGTTGAAAAATGGATATTTCTTATCATTTTGAAAAATGGTCTAAAAAATCATGCATTTAGTAAAAGTTAGCAAACTGAGGGTGTGACCTGCCCACACCTACCCAGTAGAGATAATCAATAGTTAGGAATCTACAGGTCCACTAATAGAACAGGCAGAATTAATACATTTTCAGGAAAACAGAAACTGAGAACAAGTTGAAATGGGAAATAAATAATAGAATCACAAATTTAGATAGAAGAAAAACTATGAGGAGAAGATAAATTGCAGTGTGCATACATACCCAAAGAATATATTTGTACAATTATTATTACTCCTGCGGTAATAATGTCTAGGGAGCTTAGATTTTCACAGAATGCAACAAATAAAAACTGAAATGCTACAATGACTTTGGTGGGGCTAAGTAAATTAAATGATTTGAAGATCTTTGTGTTATCAATAAAATAATAAAAGGGCCAAGATACAGAAGTCTTTCAGGAGTCAAATTGTATAGTTTAAGTTTTAAGTATGACTTGTGGAAGAATAATATAAAATAGAACTGTAATAGGAAATTAGTATAAAATTATAAAAAAATATGTAATGTTAAAAAGGTAAGGAAAAATGAAAGCTAAAACAGGCATAAAGATGGTAGATTTAAGTTGAATATTCTGAATAAAAATATGGAATAGAGATATGGTAACTAATGAATTTCAAACAGAAATAAAATAAATTTGTGTATGTTGAACCAGCCCTACATCTCTGGAATGAAGCCTACTTGATCATAATGGATAATTTTTCTAATGTGTTCTTGGATTCGGTTTGCCAGTATTTTTTTTTTTATTGCTAGAATTCTTTTTTTTTTAATTGAGAAAAGGAGAAAAAAAAAAACAAGTTTCCACCTCCTCCCAGCCTCCTATTTCCCTCCCCCTCCTCCCACCCTACGCCCCCTCCTCCCACCCTTCTCCCTCTCCCCCACTCTTTCCCCCTCCCTCTCCAGTCCAAAGAGCAGTCAGGGTTTTCTGCCCTATGGTAAGACCTAGGACCTCCCCCTCCGTCCATATCTAGGAAGGTGAACATCCAAACTGGCTAGGCTCCCACAAAGCCAGAACATTACGTAGGATCAAACCCCCGTGCCATTGTCCTTTGCGTCTCATCAGCCCTCATTGTTCGCCATGTTCAGAGGGTCCAGTTTTATCCCATGCTTTTTCAGTCACAGTCCAGGTGGTCTTGGTGAGCTCTCAATAGATCAGCTCCACTGTCTCAGTGGGTGGGTGCATCCCTCGTGGTCCCAACTTCTTTGCTCATGTTCTCCCTCCTTCTGCTCCTCATTGGGACCTTGGGAGCTCAGTCCAGTGCTCCAGTGTGGGTCACGGAGTCTACAATAGGTTTGCCAGTATTTTATTGAGAATTTTTGCGTCGATGTTCATGAGTGATATTGGCCTGTAATTCTCTTTCTTGGTTGAGTCCTTGTGTGGTTTTGGTATCAGGGTAACTATAGCTTCATAAAAAGTGTTTGGCAATGACTCTTCTGTTTCTATTATGTGAAATACATTAAGGAGTATAGAATAATGGCACTGAGTTTTGATTCTACTTCATGGACTGGCCTTGTGGGAGCCTAGTCTGTTTGGATGCTCACCATCCTAGACCTGGAAGGAGGGGGAAGGACCCTGGACTTCCCACAGGGCAGGAAACCCTGACTGCTCTTAGGACTGGAGAGGGAGGGGGAAAGGAGTGGGGGGAGTGGGAGGGAATTGGGAGGAGGTGGAAATTTTTAATAAATAAATAAAAAATGGAAAAAAGAGAAAAAAATAATAGCATTGGCATGGTGTATATGGAGGACTCACCACAACATAAGAACAGTGAAAATCAGAAGTAATGTAGGTATACAGATAAGTACTAGTAAGAGCCAATACGGAAGGGGTAGTGTGCCTGCTTGGCACAATGACATTGTTTTCTTTAAATGCCATGCATGAGGACACCCATGCTGAAGGCAAATGAGCAAAGTAGAACATGTTAATAGCAGTTTTTCAAACAAAACTTTAGCTATGTATACATATAGGTACATATATATTTACACATGCATACATATATTAAATATATACATATATATATAAGTATAAATTTTATCAGAAAGAAGAATATTCACAGAAACGCTGCTTTTAGTTTGGCACTCCAAATACTTTGATTTCTTTTCTACAAGTAGAGAAAACCTTTTTCTCTTATTTAATCTTGAATTCCTTAATTTTTCGTACAAATTATTATGATCTACATATAATTTTATAGTTTCTATGCATCATTCTATTGATTCATAAAGGAAAAATGTAGGAGGAAGGGGCTGTTCATTGGTTCTGGGCCTCCCAGCTAGCTTATACCCAAAATAACCACACAGAAACTGTTTTATTTAAATCACTGCTTGGCCCATTAGCTCAAGCTTCTTATAGGTTAGCTCTTACATATTAATTTAACCTATTTCTATTAATCTGTGTATGGCCACATTGCTGTGGCTTACCGGCTAAAGTTCCAAGCAGCACATGTCTCCAGCAGCTCCATGCTCTCTGTCTGACTCAGCCCTCTTTCTCCCAGAATACAGCAATTCTTTATTCATTAACCAATAAAAGCAACACAGAGACAGAAGGACCTCCCACACCAGAAAGACATGATAGAATTGATGAATAAGACACATTTTTTTCTGAGTTTTGTCTCAAACAGGCACACATGGCATTTCCTCTGAAGGTTTAATGTTAAATGTTTTTTACTTTCTTGAGATACCAGCTTTAAACAAAGAAAAATCAGCTTATGATGTCTATGTGTGCTTGAGTTCTTCATTAGTAAATAACTGGAAAAATAATGACTTAATACCCAAGGGTGGCCGGAGTGCTTAATCACAGCACTCAAGAAGGCAGAGGCAGACGAATCTCAATGAGTTCGAAGCCACCCTGGTCTACAGAATGAGTTCCAGGACAGTCAAAGATGCACAGATAAAGCCTGTCTCAAAAAAAAAAACTCAAAATAATAATAAAATAGCAAAGTATCAAGGTTCTCTCTTTTAGTTCTGATAATTCTCTTTTACAGATAGCATCAGGAGAAAAATGAGGATCTTCTAATTATGCAATATGCAATATTGAAGTGGTGGTTAAAAACACTGCAAATAAAGAACTGCACCAGAACCAGAATGTTGATATAGATATATGTTCATATGTGCCTATAATACAACATGTATAATTTTATATGTGTGTATATGTATATATGTGTATATTGCTATATGTATACATGTTTGTATGCATACATGTATGTATGTGTATATATGTATATATACACATTATGTGTGTGTATATGTGTGGATATATTTGTCCATATAGATAAAGAGAGAGAAAAAAAGAGAAAGAGGGAAGAAAAAGGGGGGTACTAGGAGTATGAAGAAGGAGGGCCGGATAACTATCCCCATCTGGTGGCAAAAGCACCCAACTTCAGCTAGATCCCAGAGTCCTGACATAAAAGTAGCAATAAACACTTTCAGACAGCGTTCAGTGCGATAGGAATGTTGTCCTTTCAGTAATAATAAGCTTCTGGAAATATCATTATTGTGAGATTCAGTTAAGCAAAGGTTGATGATTAGAACAGCATCTTCATGTAACAGAAAGGAGTGAACAACTCTCAGGATCAAAGAGATCAGCACAAATGTCACTTGCCAGATACCTGTTGCTCCTTTCAGCCAGGACTTGAGTCATCATGCAAATGGTTGTATCTTGACATGATACATTTCTTTTCCTAGATGTTTTAGTGTGGAGCAATGATCGAGTTATTCGCTGGATACAAGCGATTGGACTTCGAGAATATGCAAATAATATTCTGGAGAGTGGAGTGCATGGCTCACTTATAGCCCTCGATGAGAACTTTGACTACAGCAGCTTGGCTTTATTGTTGCAGATTCCAACACAGAACACCCAGGCAAGCAAGCCCTTTTGTGCCGCACTTCACTGGGTCTTGATTAATAGAATAACAAGTATTTCTCTTGGGAAAACATAGGGCTGTGAATTTATTTTTGTTTTTACTAAAACGATCTTAATTAGCACACAAGAATCCTTACATATGTGAAGTTTAAACTGGGCAACGTGCTACATGCTTATAATTCCAACGCTTTGGTGACTGAGGCATAGGGATCACTAGTTCAAAGTCAGCCTGGGATAGTGTCTTCCTAATCTTTGTATTCATAGTAATTAAAATACATAAAAATGGTATAATGTGTGTGTATGTATATATATATATGTATATATATGTGCATATATATATATTTGTATATATATGTATATATATGGAGAGGATAGAGGAGAGAGAGAGAGAGAGAGAGAGAGAGAGAGAGAGAGAGAGAGAGAGAGAGAGAGAGAGAGAGAGAGAGAGAGAACAGAGTGTTGTTTAGGCTAGAAATATATATTTCCTTAGACATTTTCATTTTGTTGTGATAAAAACTTTTAAAATGGCCAGGCAGATCTTCACCTTGAGGCAAACCTGGTCTATGCAATGAGTTCCAAGCCAGCAAGGGCTAGAGATAAAAGCAGTCACAAAGATATTAGGATATTTCTTCTACCTTTACTAGTTCAAAATATATTATACTTCCTTCCAGTTATATGGATGACTTGCAACCCTTTAACTTGGTGTCCACCGAGCAGCCTTTCTCATAGCCCTTGTTCTCTCTGCTCCATTAACCACAATCCCAACTCAATGTCCAGAAGCTCAAGTTCCACTTGTGCCTGACATGTGTGTACATCTCTCTGTGTCCCTGGCTTATTCCTTTAATATATTCACGATTTCTTTCGCAGAAATTTTAGTTTTAAGATAATGTTGCAAGCCAAACACAACCTTAAAATTAGAAAAGCAGGTGCTGGAGAGATGGCTCGGTAGTTAAGAGCACTGGCTGTTCTTCAGCTGACCTAGGGTCAATTCCCAGCACCCACATTTTGGCTCACACATGTCTGTAACTCAAATTCCAGGGCTTCTGACACCCTCCCATGGACATACATATAGACAAAATACCAATGAACATAAAAATATTATTTTTCAAAAACTGGAAAGGCAGAGAATTGGAATTTCTGTGATATAGCCCCTCTGCCTGCATATCATGCCTATGTCCTGATGACATTTGACCTCTGATAAGCAGTCCCTTTTATTTATCTATTTAATCATACTTACATTTAACTGAGTGTTCTGGTGATCCCTAAATAAGGAGAGTTCTATGTTTTAGCAGAGTTCCACGCAAATTAAAATGCCTCTACTGCCCAGCCCATAAAAAGAGTATTTGAAGAGCTAGAACACAAGAATCCTTACATATTTGAAGTTTAAACTGGGCAATGTGCTGCACGCTTGTAATTCCAACGCTTTGGTGATTGAGGCACAGGGATCACTGGTTCAAAGCCAACCTGGGATAGTGTCTTTCTAGCCTTTTTATTCATAATAAGACTTTGTTAAAAACAAACAAAATGAAAAACAGAAAAAAAACTAAAGTATAAAGTTTGTATATTACCTATTGTAAGCTTGATAAAATCCAGTGCAATACAACTTGATTTTGTTTTTAACATTTTAAATTTTACACAAAATGCTGAATTAGAATAAAATAAGTATTTGAAAAGAGTTCTTTGACTGCAGCCATTTAAGCCAGGGTATCTCTCTACTAAAATGTTTTTTGTAATGTATCATCAGATAAATAAAACCTTTATGTTGTTTGAATAAAATTTAACTTTGATGACAGTAACTTTGATTTGATATCAACAGGCCAGGCAGATTCTTGAACGCGAGTACAATAACCTGTTGGCCCTGGGAACGGAGCGGCGACTGGATGAAGTGAGTTGTCACCTCACTTTCAGAAGTCCCTTATAACTGGCAATAGCCTTCCACCAAGAAAGGCACACCAATCAGTTGTGCAATTCTAAATGGTCAATCCTAAAAACATAGAAACAAGTACCATTATACAGATGGAGCAAATTATATGTAGAAACATACAATAACAATTTGGGAAGTTTGGGAGGTAGTAAGGAAAGAAATATAATTATATTGTAATGTCAAAAATAAAGAAGAGGCCATAAACTTGAGGGTTAGAGCATGGGAAGGATTGTAGAAAAAATTAAAAAAGCAACACCTTAAGTTGTATAATAATTAAGGGTGTCATACAGCCTTAAAATGTAAGATAAGGTTTTATGTTATTGATCAATATTTAATTTAAATAATGCTTCTCCAAATATATACAAGTCAGAGACCCATACTATATTGAAATATATTGTTTCCTTCATCCACCTGTGAACACTGAATATCTGAGGAAATGTAAAACAAAATCATTTTGATATAGTATATATCACTTAGCCTAAAAAATATCAAATAAAAATAAAATTTAGATATTGACAATAGGAATTTTAACCCTTTATAATATGCAAATTATCTAAATTATCTCCCAAATAGACCTTCAGTGGGAGTTAAATTGACTGTCGCTAAAGGATATATGTTATATTGTTCCAATAGAGCCACAACAATTTGTAATGAGTAGTGTCATTTATTTCTCTATATGTCAGAATAAAATAAATGAGATAGTGAAGTAAATTACATATGTGTTGTGGAAGGAATGGGACTAGTTAGACCAGAAGAACATGGAACAGATCTCTGACACAACATAGATACAGCCCAGTGCCCTGTGCCCTGCCCCTCTGACCATTACCTGTTTATAATCAACCAGGAATGCCCTGACTTGCATGGTTCCAATATGCATGGCATAGTACAGAACTGGAAATTACACACAGAAAAGCTCATGATAACCTTCTGGGACTACACAGCCCTCTCAAAACTTTGCACAGTACAAATCATGTGCCAGGTGACTGAACACAAAGACACCTTAACAGCAAAAAGACTCCTCTCAAAGTGGAGACCTCTGCAGCAAATTGCCCTGTCTTTTGGTAGCATTTTACTTATTGGTCAATCTACTGCTCTCTCAGTATGCACCATCAACTCTTCTTCCTATTCTGGTCTAAATGATGAATTTATTCCCCCCTCCCTCTTCCCTGCTACCTCAGTGAGTAGATACTCAGTTTATTACATGCGTGATTATGTAGCTTCAGTCATGGTGATCTTAGAAAATGAGACCTATGTGGGATGATTTATACATTTTTTAGAAATAAACACATACACACATATAATGTTGAATTCTATATTTCTGATTACTATTTCAAATAAAATCATTGCCTTTTGAACAGGTACTTTGTATATACAGAGAGAGTGATTATTTCGTTGAGACATACCAAAATTGGTGACTAGAATTACATCATTTTTTTCTCTTTTGAAAATTTTATACACTCTATTTTGATTATATTCACCCCTCCCCCAAATCTTCCCAAATATCCCCTCCAAGTCATATACCCAATTTTGGGTTCTCATTCGTTTTTATAAACACATATAATCCAATAAGTGATACCCATATATTTTGGCCTTCAACCTCTCAGAGACAATACACTTAGAGAACACTAACTCTCCCACTTCCCCAGAAACTATTGACTATCAATAGCTCCTAAGCCATGAGTGAGATGTTAGGATCACCTCTTTCTCCGTGCTGGAATTTGGTCTGCCTCGAGCTTGCATAGGTCTCTGGCCTACTACCGCACCCACTGTGAACTCATGTTCATGGTTTCCCTGATGTGCCTAGAGCAGAGCTTTGTTGTAGTCATCCACCGCCTCTGGCTCTTGGAATCATTCTACTCTTTCTTCCACAATGATCCCCGAGCTTTGGAAGAAATGGTGTGATGTGGATGTCCCATATAAGGCTTAACATTCCCATAGTTTCTTATTCTCTGTACAATGACCAGTTGGGAGTCTCTAGGTTAACCTCTATTTACTGTACAAAGAGGCATCTCTGAGAAGGTTTTAGAGTTATGTAAATCTATAGGCAGAAGGACAAGTCATTAGGAATCAGTTAAATGCTATGTCCATTTAGAAGAGTAAGATCAGTGGGTTCCTCATATCCTGTATATCCACCTGTTCCTGGCCCTGACAGTGATGCTTGGTATTAGTCCTATCTTGTGGAGCAGCCTTACACTCAACCTGAGAGTGGTTGGTTATTCATATAATGTTTGTGTCACCATTGAACCAAGGGGCATGTTTTGTCAGGCCAGTGATCATTGCCACTCAGAAGGATTACAACTGCATAAGACGGATTGGTGATTGTTTCCTCTTCCAGTATCAACACAGTACATTTTAGAACTATAAAAGCCAGCCACTTGGCAGTAGGTTTCTAGAAGAATCCCAGCTTAGTCTCACCATGCTTTAGAGCTCATGTATCGGGTGCTTTCAGCAATAGGGTCTTATCAGCAACTTCTGGAGTATAGCTAGGAACAGCAGCATTACCATGTAATATTGATCCACCAGAGTTAGCCTTTGCTTTTAGTATTACCTTAAAATCAAGTGTGCTAATCGAAAGGATGGAGCCCGGGCTGCAAAGATTTTTCAAAAAAAAAAAAAAATCCAGTTAATTCCTCATCACCTAAAATCTAACAAATCACGTGTTTAGCGTTTCTTATTAAGATTATAGCTAATTGTATCACATGCTAACCAGTGTGTCTCAAATACAGATTTTTGTATGCTATCTAGCTTTTGTGTGCAGAAAAGTGATATTTGTTGATTATTTGACTCAAATGCAGTCTACTTAACTGATGCAATTAAGTATTGGCTCATACTAAAAAATCCTTTAGCGCAAAATGGAACCAAATAAATCCAATGTTCTATTTAGATTTAAAAATACCTTTAGTATTTGGTGATTTCAAGGATGTTTAAAGGTAACAATCTTTAGATTTGAAATCATATTAAAATTTTATCTAAATACATTTCTATCATATTTACTCCCTCCTTCTGGAACCAACAAAGGAGTTCAAACTGAAGCATAGCATTCCCCTGTGTACTAGACAGGCTAAATTTAAATAAACTCTATCACTTGCCCCTGAGCACACAGATGTATAGACTGTAGCTTCTTTGTTTTCATGCCATCAAACTCTAACTCTGTCCTGGCAGAACGATGACAAGAATTTCAGACGCGGCTCAACCTGGCGAAGGCAGTTCCCTCCCCGTGAAGTCCACGGAATCAGCATGATGCCTGGGTCCTCAGAGACATTACCAGCTGGGTTCAGGTTAACTACAACATCTGGGCAGTCAAGAAAAATGACGACGGATGGTACAGTAGTTTTACACTTCTCCCTATAGCATAAAAAGCTTGTTTAGCCAAAGATAAATAATTCTTCAACTTTGCATAGCCTTTCGTAATTGATTCTTTTCTTGAGTTGGTTTGCTCTGCTTGAAATTCATTTTGCTTTTTTATCAAAAGAAAGACAATGTGTAAACTGGCGATGCATACATCCATGAGACTTTATACACATTTGAAAAATAATTTACAGCCCTCCAAAAAACAGTTCCACTAATGTCTAGGAAAAACGTATGCATGATTTGTGTTTCTTTACTCTTCTATTGCCAAAATAAATAATCCACATATAATGTGGGTTTGATTTGAAATCAAATCCGACTCAATATGGGAATTCACTGTATTGGCACTTTTATACATTGAAATACAAATTTTATGTTTTATCCTTCAAATTAAGTTTCATCAGATATGTTTTGTCTCTGACCAGGCAGAAAGCCTTAAATAAATAATCACAAACATGAAAAGAGAATTAACATGCACAAAACCAACAGTGATTTCCCAATTGCATCTCTCTGTGGACACTAGACTAAGGCTACGTCCTTCACAAGAGAAACAGGCATTCTGGAGAGTCGGCTCAAATTTCTGTTTTGGAGACATCAAGGAAAAGCAGTCTTTCTCTTGTTTTTCAGATAATAATCTAGACTCTTCATTTCTTTTCAACCTGTTATGGCAATTAAAAATCATCTGTGCATAAAGTGTCTTTGATCCACATTTCTTTAGCACGTTAATATTTTGGAACTTGTTAGCAAGGTTCATGAATAATTTAACGTGATTAAAATTAGTATGGAAGTTTGTCTCTACATAGAGAAGAGAGAAAAATGCAATACCACAATCCACAATATCAAGTTCTCTGAGAGTAATCTTCACAGCAAAAGCAGGCTCACCCTGGGGAGTCGCTTTGTTACAGATTTCATCTAAGGAGGACTATATTGCACCTGAAGAGCTCAGCTCAATCGCACTCCAGTAGATTTTCATTAGTCACTGGGGCTAGAGAAGAGTACCGTGAGTGGCTAGTGTCTGAGAAAAGATAGTCTACGAATACGGTCAGGATCCCTTTCTGCAGAGAAAACCATTCTCTCTCATCTCTCGTGTGCGAACCTCTAAAGCCCTTTTCTCCTTCGCAGTTCCGTCATCAAGACTGCAGAGGTTAGACAACTCCACGGTTCGCACATACTCATGTTGACAAGCCACTCAAAGGAGACAGCGCTAACCTGCTGTGAGTAGTGTCTCTTGGCTGAAAAACAAGGAACCGACAGAAAGATGGGGTTCACAGAGACTAGGCAACATGCCCCATACCCTTTGGTATGGCCCTAGTGGCACAGAGGTGTGATCAGCCACTCTAGGAATCTATAAGTCCTGATCCTTCATCTAGCATTTCTTATAGTTACCGGTCTTCTGTGTTTTGTGGTCTGCCTGGTGAAGTTCTGCCACACAGTCATTCCATATTAATGAGTTGCTAAGCATATTATTTTCGGTGGCATATTATGTTGACACCTACATAGTTTTAGTAGTATGAGTCTGGCATTTGAATCTCAAACATCAAGTGTCTGTCGTAGAAGGTAGCCAAAATAGAACGATAGGAATTTGTGCAAGTTTGCAGCCAAATAGTATAAGAGGCAGGAAATTAGATGTGGAGTAATAATAACAAAAAAAGTTGAAAATAAAAGTGTTAAATTTCCAATGTCTTGTCTCTACCATTATGATTTATATATATATATATATATATATATATATATATATATATATATATATATATATCAATTTTAAGACTCTGGGTAGTACACATAAAAACAAAATTTATATAAGTATTAATTTTAAGACTCTGGGTAGTACACATAGAAACAAAATTTAGAAGAATTGGGAACCGAAATTGTGTAAAACTTTGTTCTATACATAAGATATAAGTCATTTATAAGGAATTACCAATTAGTGAAAAATATTATTTCATCTACATAACATGGAATTTTCCTTTAAAACTTTTTTATGAGTAAAACTGCTTTCCTAGATTTAGAAATTTTAATTTTTGAAAATTCCTTTAACCTAAAATTTGGGCGTACCAAACTGCTCTATGATTTCCAATGAGCTGATATTTGGAAAAGAAGAGTTTTGCAGCAGTATGCGTACCCAGGGATGGGATAAAAATGCAGAAAGAGAGAGCATCAATCTGCCTTGTGCTGTTTTGTTTTTTTTTTCCATTGCCTTCAATCAGGATATCTGTACAACGTAGTGTTGTCTTTAGGACTAACATAAGAGATGACATGTTGCCTTACATGGATCACTTAACAGATAAAACAGAAAAAAAATTAAGACAAATTTTTTAATTTCACAAAATGCTATGCTAATACAATTTTTTATTGTGATATACTCTTTAGTCTCATAAGGCATGGCTTAGAATATATAATCATATTGCTAAGCATGAGACTTTCCAAAATACTGTTTATAACAGATTCAACATATAACATAGTAAATTTCTCAGAAATTTAATAATTCACGAGCTTATAAATGACTAATATTTTCAGTAGTGCTTGCTGCTTAGCTCTAGGCTGATGCGTAGAATTAATCTTGAGCTCTTTGCAATTTTTCCGTGCATGTCATTCTAGTTCATATTTCCTAGTTATTAAACTTTAAAGGGAATAAAAATATGAAAAGGATCATCAAAGGCAGTCTTTACTTTTATTTTGGCGAGAAATTAAAATGACTGTTGTGACCAACAAAGTCAAAACAGACTTCTTATTGATCTTTTGTGTCAGTAAGCATCATTGGGGGATTTTCCTAGGTTACATCATGGCTGTAATCGGTGGTAAAATACATACAGCTGAAACAGAAACTTTAGAATGTGCTATAGTCTATGGTCTGTCTTGATTAAAGTAAAGCATCATTTTAAGAATTCTACAATATATGAACTAGAATCTAAATCTATTCTACAGAATAGGTCATTCCAACCCTACTTAATAATTAGCAACCTATAAAAAATTCAGAAGGCATGCTGACATTTTATGTGACTATCTCTGTTTCTACTATAGCCATACTTTTGCCAAAGTTAAACATATCCCACTTAACACCCCAGAAATACAGTAAGTGGAGACTAGCAAATGTCACCGATCCACTGTTAGGTCCATGCTAGATAGCTTTCTTTGCACTGAGGTTTTAGACCAGACCTATGCACCCCAGAAGAACAGTGGGAGCCACTGGCTCGGTGCTACCAATGAACTCATGCCCTCCGTTTCCTTTCACAGATGTCATCTTTTCAGTATACCCGACCTAAAGTGCACTACTGCCTACAAAGACGAAGGGAGAAAGCCTTTACGAAGACTGAATTCTAAGGAAATAATATAAGTAACAGTTTACCAAACATTAAACACGTGATTTTGGGGGGAGTCAGATAATAAGTTTGGTTAGTTTCCTATGATTGTAATAAAACGCTTAAGTCATCTGAAATACGAACATCACCCACATCATAAATTCTGTACATCCGATGCTTTTATGAGATGGAATTACTTGTTTTTTCATGTTGTAATATAATAGGCATTTATGTATTACTGTGTATTATTTCTTTTTAAATGTGTAAGTCTTCTGTAAATGGATATAAATATGATTTTTTAAAAAATAAAATATATGGTTCATGGAGTCTTGAGTGAAAACATTGAACAATTACAAGTCCTGTTTGTATCTTACCATTTCACAATTTTTACAGTCAATCCGTATGTTTCCTAGAAGCATGCTTCATGCTTCAACCTGCTTCTTCTGTAAGTCTGTCAAACCTTACAGCTGAACACCTGCCTCTGATCATGTAAAAAAAAAATTAAAAAAAATAGAGAGAGAATGATTTAACTTGGACCTGGAGCCAAAACTTACCTTTCAAGGCAATCAGGGATGTGATGTCCTCTCTCTGTAGAAATAGCACTGTGATGGCTCAATCTCCTTTTCAACAACAACAACAAAAAAAAAAAGCCAAACTCTGTTTACAAGCATTATATGCAATGCTTTAAAAAATTTATATTAAAAAAACATTGTCTAATCCTGTTGCCTGTGGACCAAGAAACACACACACACAACATAGCCACACATACATACAACCCAGACACACACACACAGAGACCTTCTTTATTAAGAACCCACATGTTCATTCAAATACCCTGAACTGCCAGCTAACCCTGGACAGTGAGTGTCAAACACCATGGAGTCGGAGGCCCATCTCCACCAGGAACAAAAACACAAACAAACTGAACCCTTTAGCACCCCACCCTTTTGAAAATCACTGTTAACAGGGCGTTAGCCAGACTCAAGTCTAATGTTACTCAAGTCTATGCCTTTAGCGGAAATGAATTTTTTTTGTGACTTCCCTGAATTCATTTTCATCCAAGGACAAAAGACAGAATGATGAAAATATATAGTGTATAAAAAAGTAGAGAAGAGTCATCTCTTTCTTGTGGCTTTATTTGGTGATGTCACTGTTGTTTATTCCTAGTTTATATGGGAGATTTCAAAGTGAAACCTATCTAACAATACCATGGATCGAACTGCTGTTTACCTGCTGCTTGGTCTTATTAAGTGCAAGATCTGTCATTAGTAACTTCTTTTTTTTTTCTTTTGTATTTTAATTTGTTATATTTGCATGTACATTTGTTTTGATGTCTATTTTTGTTGAACAGATTCAATCAAAAGGTAATGGTTACAGAAGCTCTCTCCATTGTCAATAAAAAAATAATAATGCTTCCAGTTTTCTGTTTAAGCTCTGTTTTCTAGTGCATAAAATTTAACAAGTTATTCGAATCACAAAGACAATCACTCAGTGATTTTCAATTCAGTTTTCCTCGAAATCAGATCTGCCACTAGAGGGAGGTCTAAACCAGCTGATGGAAGTGTTCTGAATTTAAAAAGAAAATGTTGCTCAAGTAAAACCAGTGTTAAAGGAGCAAGAGCAGCTCAATGAAGTCACCTAAATGAAATATAAGAGAAACTAAGATACTCATACTCTAGAAAACATTATATTCATATTTATACACCAGTAGAACAACCAAGTTTGCAGAGCCCTAGTGGAAGACATGTAATAAGTAACATATGAAGAAGAGAAAGATTATTTTGGCTGATATTTTTGGATGATCTAGCTTAAGAATTGGCAGATCTGCATGCTTTGAGAAATCAAGTGGTGTGGGACGGCACGGCAGAAAGCATGTACTAGAGAAAACTGCTTGCCCAACGCCACGGATAATGGAGAACCGTTGATGGGATTGGAGCCACAGTCCCCTTGGGAGAAGTCCACTTCAGTGACCCAAGCATTTCCCATCATTATCGCCCAGTAGGGCACTCGGCACAGAAGCTTTGGGGAACATTCCATAGTTAAGACTAGCAGCCACTCACTCAGTCACCGAAATCAGTTTCTGCTTTTGAGAAAATACATTTAAAAAATTACTGGTGATATGTATGTACTAAGTACTAACAGTGTGATACACAATGTACAACTACTTTCCTCAAGAAAATGCAAAATATGTTTTAATGTATAAGGATATTTAGTCAGATTTAAAAACCAGTTTCATGGATTGAGTTTAAATTTCTGGGTAGTTTGTTTATTTTTTATTTTTCCCATATGACCAACAAGATTAGGAATTCAAATATTTTAGAATATCGATCAAGCCCTTTCAAATACAATTTTATGTAAATAAACCTACCTTTTGACATGTAAAACAAGTTTCATTTATATCTGTTGAATGTATTTTATGGGGAAAAATAAATTGGCACACACTTCAGTTACTAAAAGTACTTTTATTTTTATTTGCAAATGTTTACAAATTTAAAATTTTCATAAAATACAAGATCACACAGAACCAATTTAGGTAAATAGAAGTATGGTCACATTTGTTTAGATTGCATTATTGCTATCAAAGACACACCCAATTCAAAAACTTCTCCTGAAATTTGGCAAAAAAAAAGTATTATAGTGAGATTTAAAATGAGAAGTCATTTAATTTTCTCCCCAAATTGTAAAGTGTCTGATGTGTATGTTATATATTTCATTTCTCCATTTCAGCCACAAGAATGTGACCATTGTCTCTGGACTGAAGCAGAGAAGTTCCTCACTGAAATATAAGAAACAGCTCCATCCAAAGTGTAGTGCACTTGGCTTTTTGTTTGCTTATTTGTTTTTTGTTCTTAGATTCCCACAACTGGAAAACAATGCAGGCCTGTATGCTGAGGTGGCCCTTCAGATCTGTTAAAGAGGAATAGAGGAATATCTACAAATGATCTGAAGATAAAATTCTTCTTCAGTCCTTAGATTTGCCTGAGTTTGTCACTTGCAAACAAAAATTGATGAATTCAGTTAAAATATCTGACTCAAGTGGGGGAAAATAATGAACTGTGTCATAATGCTAACATATTAAAAATAATAATGATTTTTAACCCTATAGTCTTGATAATGTATAGAATTTACACATGCAATGGGAAACTCAAGGAACTGAACAGGTTCCAGTAATAATATGTATATCCAGTTGGCTTAACTCATGGTACCAAAACAATTAAAGATAATAAAGTTATTTTTTCAGATTTATCAATGAAGAAGGTGGCTTAATCAGTAAGTTTCCTTTGAGAAGTCACTTATCATCTACTCAGCAGTCCAAAGAGGCCTAAAAGGAGAGCTTTTATATAAAATACACATTATTTTATGATAGTAAATTCTAATTTGCTGCTTTCCACCTGCATTTCGTGTATTTGAATGGTTCTGTTAGAACATTGGGCTCTTTATAATAATATTTCCCAGAAAGCGAAGAATTGAGAAATTATTCTGAAAACTCTGTTTCAATGATCACAGTATACTCCTTGGATTTAAATGTATGCTCTGATGAATAATACATGTAGAGCTCTAATCTAGTTAATTATTTCTTTCTACTCTAGTTAATGGATATACTTCTATAACCTTATTAAAGGCTCATTTTTAATGTTTTTGAAAAGGCTCAGTCATTTTATAGAAGTGTAGATGGAAATAAATGTTAGAGCATAATTTGTAAATGAGTTAACATTTATTCAAAGTGAAAACTTGCAATAAAAGCAGACGTTTGGGTTTCTCATGAAACCCAGAGGTTCGTGCGTGCAGTCTCTTTCCTGAGCCATATTTATCTGGGGGCTGATATGACTGTCTCCTCAATAGAACACATGATTTCCAGTACTTAAGGCTTCACATTCTTCTTAAAAATCCCTTGTTGGGGTATATGGCTCAAGGCCCCACCATAAATTCATTGATATCCTAGAGTATAGTGCAGTGGAAGAGTGTTTGTCTAACATGCAGAAGTCTCTGGGTTCGATCCCATAAGAGTAAAAAATGCTAATTTGGAACTCAGTACGATAGTATCCAAGCAACCAGGAGTTAGAGGACCAGGGTTTCCAAGAAAGCCACACTCATATAGTAGATGTGAGGCCAACCTAAGAGACATGTCACCTTGTCAAAAAAATAAAATAAAAGGAAAAGAAAAAAACAAAACAGAATGGGGGAACTCATTGATATGATCTAGAAAGTCTCTTGATTTTTAGAATAAGACTAAAACTTCCCTATTTTTTTTATATATTCCTTTGCCACTCCATTCCATTTCTATGCCATTTCCTTGAGGCTATTGGTAGATGCAGGCATCAAGACAGACACAATCAACTCGGGCATGGGATTTGAGGAGCCTTCATTCTACAAAAGGTTTGGTGGAAAACTGTCTAGTTTCTCTGCAGATATATGCCTTCCTTTACCCAGTCACAGACAACCTAGAAATGGTACTCCATTCTGGGGTCCTGTGTTGCTAGAGAACCTAGCAACACTGCTCCATCCTCGGCCCTGTGTTGCTTACACAATCATCTCTAAACAAGTTAGTCATCTTAAAAACATTAAACACTTGAGGTTCCATAATAACATTGTAAATTATATTTTACCTTGATTTGAATTTAGATTTTGATCAAAGTGTGGCTGATTCTTATCTCCTGGAAGATATAGATGCTTTCAATTGAAATGTGTTTGTAAGGCACATGAATTTATAAAAATGTATACACCAAAGACATGTTCCTTAATATGCAAGATAGCATATAATGATCCACGTTACAGGAAAGAGGTAACAATATGAACTGTCTCACATAACATAACATAAAATAACATCACATAGAATACAGCCCTTTCATGGGTTATTAGACCGATTTAATTCTAAGGCTCACATTTGAGTTAAAAATGAAATTTTAAGCATTTACTTATAGAAAATAAACAACTTAAATCCAGCTAGAAGATGAAGACAGACTGACTGGATATAGTAAATAAAAATCACAAGTTCTGCCTCAGCACTTCTTCTATGTGACCAAAAATGCTGGGGTCCTCAATAGTAGGCGTTACCTGAAAAGAAATGAACAACGTCAGATGCTCACATCCCCTTTAACTTCTATAGGACTTTTTGTACAACAAATAGTGATATACTTTGTTTTAGCACTCTTATTTTTGTTTTGTTATGCTTTTAACTTTCTTTTGAGGTTTTTCTTTTTGACACAGTGACTCCTGTAGTATAGGCTAGCTTCAAACACCTTACCTAGCAATGGTCAGTCTTGAGCTCTTGATTTCCCTGACTTTACTTCCCAAATGCTAGGGTTACAGGCCATGTGATTTATGC